AGCTTCGAAAATCGGATGGAACCTTTTGAGTATCGCGATCCAACTCACTGACTCTATCGGGAACCTTTTTTGAAAATCGCGACACAAGTGTAACTTGAGAACTTAGAGAAAAATCTGCGACGAGGGCTGCGGAACCGCGATTTTTATACTAATCGCCCCAGATTACACAAATTTGGATTGGAACTTTTTGTAAGAACAATTACTGAAAAAAATGTGAAGGCACATAGCAGGCGACAGTTTTTATAAGTATTGAAAGGAAAGGAGAGGAAAGGAAAGTGGAGAGGGATATTCTATTGGTAAGTAGCGTGACTTTTTTCAACGATTGGTAGATGGATTTCTGGAAAGCGATCTGTGTCACTCTGTTTATTTAAACTCATTTCTTGTTTTTTTATATATATTGTTACATCCGGCGGACTCGCACGACTCTTTTCTTTCGACAGATCTAGAGATCTGGAATTCGTCGAAACACTAAAATTTTATCTTCTTTTCTTTTTTTTTCTCTATCTTAAAAACTAATAGGTGGAATAAGTTTCGTTAGCTGGAATTAGTAGTAGGATTTTCCTTTGCTCTTGGATTGGTCAAGATTTTGGGGGAGGAAAGGATGTCGACAGGAATCTGTAGCATGGGAAAGTGTCCTCCAAAATTTTATGATCTTAAGATTTATGGGAAAATGCACGTCTCGGGCGCATGCATTGTCGCCACAGGACCACCCAGAATCTACCCCTGAACGTCGCGTACTGTTTCTTAAATTTTGTAATTACGGATTCGCGAGAATCATCCGCGACTTGACCGTTAATCTTGGCGACGGTCTTAAGCTTTCCATACGTATTTATTATTGATTTTTATCTCGGAGCGACATTCACGAGGAGATACCAGATTCCTTGTTTTAGTTTTTAAAATAGAGAAAAAAAAAAGAAGATAAAATTTTAGTGTTTCGACGAATTCCAGATCTCTACGAAAGAAAAGAGTCGTGCGAGTCCGCCGGATGTAACAATACATATAAAAAGACAAGAAATGAGTTTAAATAAACAGAGTGACACAGATCGCTTTCTAGAAATCCATCTACCAATCGTTGAAAAAAGTCACGCTACTCACCAATAGAATATCCCTCTCCACTTTCCTTTCTTCTCCTTTCCTTTCAATACTTATAAAGACTGTCGCCTGCTATGTGCCTTCACATTTTTGTCAGTAATTGTTCTTACAAAAAGTTCCAATTCTTTGTGTTTAATTTTTATACTATTAACTTCGAATTGCACTTGCGAGGTTTTGCGTCAAAAAAATATATGGTAAGCAATTTTTATTATGTAACTAAATTAATTCAAACGAAAAAGAATTTAAAGTAATATTGTAAAGTAATAGTGTTGAAAAAATAATTTCTTTTTTTTTTATTTCAATTAGAATCTGGAAATTCCGTATTTGCCACACGGAGTCACACTTTATTTCTTGTAATAAGGAATCCTACATGAAATAGAAAATAATTCATTAGCAATTAAGTAATATTCAACTTCAAGTTTTGTCAAATTAATTTTCTGATTAGCGTCAATTATTTTTCTGACTAGCGTTTATAGTTTAATTTTATGTTTTTATTCTTGACATCTTTATTTTTGTATGTACTGATGATGGTCAAATCTTGATCGAAACGTCAACGTTATTATACGAGGGCAAGTCAATAAGTTCTTAGAAAATCTATCAGCGAGCACTCGCAGTGTCATGTTACATTACTTTTTGACAAGTAGCATCTTTCAACTGATTACTGTCAAATTTTGAGCAGAATTCATCGCGTGATTTCATTTCTGTAGACGATTAAAGTGAACAATCTTTGTATTTTTTGCAAAATACAATTAAAAAAAACGAGTTTCGTGCAGTGATCAAACATCTATATATGAAAGGTTTAACGCCGAAAGAAATCAAAGCCGAGTTGGATAATGTTCATAGCACATCTGCACCAGCGTTTGCGACTGTATACAATTGGGTGAATGAATTTAAACGTGGTCGTACATCCACATATGATGCACCTCGTTCGGGAAGTCCAATTGAGATTGCTTCGCCAGAAATCATCGATAAAATCCACGATATTGTTTTGACTGATCGACGAGTGAAAGTGCGCGAACTTGTTGAGGCCACAGGCATATCACATGACACAGTGATTTCAATTTTGCACGAACAATTGGATATAAAAAAGCTATCGGCAAGATAGATGCTGCGTTTGCTCGCTGTGGACCATAAGCGCGACCGTGTGACGATTTCAAAACAATGTTTGGAGATGTTTCAACGTAATCCAGATGAATTTCTGCGTCGATTCATTACTGTGGACGAAACATGGATTCATTACTTTACACCCGAGATAAAGGAACAGTCAAAACAATGGACTTCACCGGGTGAATCAGCTCCGAAGAAGGCGAAGACCGTGAAGTCAGCCGGAAAGATGATAGTTTTTTGGGATGTACGCAGTATAATTCATATCGATTACCTTCCATCGAAGCAAATGATCAATGGCGATTACTACGCAGCCTTATTGGACCGTTTCAGCAACATTTTAAAGAAAAAAACGTCCCCATTTGACGAAGAAGAAAGTGCTTTTCCATCAAGACAATGCACAGGTTCACACGTGCACCAATGGCCAAATTCAACGAATTCTGCTACGAATTGCTTCCCCATCCAGCATATTCGCCAGATTTAACCCCCTGCAACTATTTCCTGCTTCCAAACCTGAAGAAATGGTTCGGAGGAAAGAGATTCACCACCAGAGAGCAGCTCATCGTTGAAACAGAGGCTTATTTTGAAGGGACAAACCATATTATTCAGACGGCTTGAAAAAGTTGGAGAATCGTTGGAGTCAAGTGTATCGAGCTGAAAGGAGACTATGTTGAGAAATAAAAATAAATTGATAAAAAAAATGTGTTTTGCTATGTTTTTCTAAAAATTTATTGACTTGCCCTCGTATTATAATTTTAAGTATATGACTTTCGCTTAAGACATCTAGTGTTATGGCTGTATGCTCCCTTTTATCTATATATAAAATATTCAGAATTATAAGAAAATTGTATTTATTAAAAATTTAATCAAGTTAAAGTAAATAAAAATCATAAGTCAAAATCAGTTGAGTGTGACATACCCGACCTAGCTCATAGCAGATTAAGGCATTGATAATAGGCTTCTATAGTTTAAATAAAAATTATTTTTATATAAGGTCTGTTTGCGTTGCTTATAAAATCCCCAAAAATTTTTAGACTTAAGAGTACGTTTCCACTGAGCGCGTCACGCGTCGCGTCGTCGGTTTGCGTCACGAGTTAATCAATCAAAACATCCCCATTTTATTGTATCATTTAACGCGCGACTGTTTACGTGACGCATCGTAATTTTGCTCGACATTCTAGAGATAAAAGATTCTAAAGACAAATTGACTGAATTGTTAATGATAATTGAGTTTCTACACAGATTGGTTCTCGAAAATTTGTTGTTTGTCGTATTAGCTATGATTCAACCAAAGAAAGAATTTCTTCAAAAGTTTGTGATAATTCTCATAAAGTTGAAGTAAGTTTCATGATCATATAAGCGGAGCTCCTGTATCAAATGTTTTCAGTTCCCATGAGTTGGTCTCGTTTTAAGTATGGAACGCTCTCAGAATCGATAAAACCTTCGATTTTCCTTTTCCATAAGTTTCATTCATCTATGCAATAGTATCATGCCAAAAATTTTCGTTCATAAATGCTGCCAATAATTCTAGGCCTCCATAATTCTAGGTTATATGCTCGATCATGCATTGCGTTGATTTACGGTAACGCGTTCAGCGTAAATTAGTATGACTATTCTTGAACTTCTTTTGCGCCGCGTCGTGACGCGATAGACGACGCGACGCGTGACGCGCTTAGTGGAAACGTACCCTTAAGGCTGATTAATTGCGGCGGCTATGTTGGAATCATGACATCAGAAGCGAGAAATGACACGTTAATTTATGGGTGCATTCTGATATGCACTGCCAGCATTAGCAATAGTGCGAATGCCATTCCAATATATAATGTAGTAAACTTTAAGAGTATTGTTATATGTATACGACGTTATAGATTTTGTCGTCATTTCCTGCTTACATTATTGCAGTTGGCAAGATGAGGCATTTGCAGTAGAAACATAGCGGCGTCCTTGGAAGAAATCTGTCTCATAGATGTTGAAAATAATAAGGAATATAAAATAATTATAAACAGGTTGGATGCGGAGAAAGCACGAACAGGTATAAAGACAATTAAGGATTACAATTGTCATAAATCTAAATATTGTTTTAATTTGCAGATATAAATTTTGCTACCCAATTACTGGAAAAAGCTAAACGAAATACCATACAATCTGTAGGAAGTAAGTTAAAAATACGTTAGTTAAATGTTAGTTAAAAATAATGGTAATATTATTACATAAATAAAGGACAAATCCACATTTTGTAAAAATAAAGTAAATTAAAATGAAGAAAATACTATTGTAATTTCACAAGTTTGACAACATTATTGAGCTAACTTATATACTTATATTTTTCTTATTATTCTAAATTAGAACATTTATGCCCATTTCTACGTAGATTAAAAAATCTAGGTTTCAATATATGTAAATTAAAAAGAAGGATGTATAGAAAGATTGGTAATGCCATAGGAGTTCTTCATTTTTAGTATTAATATAATTATAATGTACTTATTTGTAACAATGTTTGGTTAATGTAAACCTATATTAAATTTATATTAAAATTATTCTATTTGTATATTTAAGTTATATGAGATCTATCTTAAGCCGGCATTCATAATGCTCGTATTTGTAGTTTCTTATTTTATGATCGTCTCAAGCAATATCTTAAGATGCTAATACAGTTCTGTGATTGGTTTATGATATTTTGCTTGTCTTTTTGTATTACAATGACTATTTGTTATACTTTTATGGACACATTTGTTTGAATAATCTACACATGTGGTTTTTTTGGTGAGTTTTTATTTCTTATCTAATTCCGGTTATTAATATATTTTCATTCACTTTTTCACAAGAAGTCTTTTTCCTTTTTTTACCAACTAGAACTTTTTAAGAGATATGACACATTTTTGACTGACTTATCATACGTGAATAATGTCGAGTTCTACATCGAGATTCACCCGTATTGCGATTATTATTAATTTGTGAACATTTGCGATAATTATTGTTTACCGTCTTTTCCGAAATGTTTTTAACGTCTGAAGGAGGCTCAATCCGATAGTCGAAACTTGTAATATTATTTTGTATTTTATTTTTATTTTTATTATATTTTTTATTATATATTTTATTTTACTTTTCTGTACATGTATTTTATTCTTTTAATTGTATGACTTTTAAAAAAATGTGTTGACTCTTACTTTGCCCTTTATTTATTGTTATTTATTATGATATTTTAAAACTATTATCTTAAGGTTATTACTAAAGGTGGTCTCAAAAATAAGAAAAGATTATAAATACCGACCTTAAACTTATATTTAATCTTCTTTAAAACTATATTATAACTAACTAATATAAAATCTATATTATTTACTCAACAATTATATTGCGCTATAGCATACATGCAATTTCTTTTATCGATATCTTCCCTTTGTGAAGTATTACTTTCTAATGTGTTCGACTGTTCCGTAATATTACTTTCATTATTAACGATGATAGGAATAACGATTATATCATTTTTTAATAAACAGATATTGTGTAGAATGCAATATGCAATTATGTATTTTGGAATTAAATCTGTTCTCTGCATTGGAAGTGTGTCTAAAAGACTTTGAAAGTCACTTTTTAACAGAGCTATTGATCGTTCCATTTTTATTCTGACGGTAGAGAGACGTCTATTGATATAAACTTGTCTTTCAGGCAAATGACCGTTGTCTTTGAACGGTACCATTAAGTAAGATACGGTATGCTGCATCGCCCAATATATGACTATGTGGAAAATTTTTATCGTTATACATGCTTTCAAAATTCGATAGTCTAAAGACATATCGTGCACAGAACCAACTTGGCCCGCGTAACAGTCTATAAATTTTAGATCTGCATCACAAATTAATTAAAATAAAGAAATGTGAATTTCCGAATTCTTTGAAATAAAATTTCAATTTTTAGAAATCAGATGTACTTAATACTTTCAATACATTAAATATGTATATAGATTTAAAATATCAAAAGATAAAGGAAGACATTAATAAAATATACAAATCTGTAAAAGTAGAAGCGACTTGTAGCTGAATCGAATGAAATCCTTTTCTATTAACATAAGACTCATTGTGGTCTTTTGGAGCAGTAAGTTTATGTGTGCCATCTATCACATCTATGACTCCTGAAAACGTATGATTTCGTTGAATTATTTCTATAGTTTCTTCTGCTTCCTCTCTGGTCGGCCGTCGAATAAATTTTGTCACATTTGCATATAAAGCATTCACTACTCTTTGAACACTGTGCCAAGTAGCTTTGCCGACATCAAATCTATCTGAAACACATCTAAATAGTTCATTTGTTAAATATTTTAATATAAATTTATAATTTAACAGTTTATGTGTATATTTATTTTTACCTATATGAATTTGGTGTAGCCATAGTCCATATGGCTATAAATAACTGTTTTTCAGGTGATATTGAATGTCTACCAAATTTGCTACTTTGTTTACCCAATCTTGGTTTTAACAATTCCAATAAAAATTGGAAAGTACTACGAAACTTTCATTTTAAAACAATGCATATTATATTACTTTGACAGTTTTTCTTCATAACTTATGAATTAACTGCAGTACTTTTATTGTACAATTTATAATAATTTTAACAAATATTATAATTTTAACATTATTGGAAACATTAAATGCTAATTCCCACTAACAAATTTTTTATGCACATATTTTCTATTACATCTTTTTCTGTTCACATCCTATTATATCTTTTTTAAATCTATCTATAAATTATTTATATATACTCAGACAGCATAGGACATCCATTGGACATCCAGACTTGGTTTCAATCTGGGTTCCAAACGTCCATGGATTTAGTACGAATGAACATGTAAGTTTTAAATATGTTTTTAAAACGTTACTGTGCTGTCTGAATAATTAATTATATATAATATTACAAAAACATTTAATTAATTATACAATTAATTAAATTTTTCCATAATATTTACATTCATTTACCGAAAATGCATTTTAAATTCTGTGTCTTTGTATGATGATACATCTTCCACATAATTTTTACAACGTGCATGTAGCATTAGACATTTCTCATGCAAAATTATTACCAATAACGATTTAATTTCTTCTGTCTCAATATTCATTATCTGAATCTATTAAATGCTTCGCTAATTCTAACAATATCACAAGTTTTGCAGCCATGGTTTCTTTTAGATTATTTGCAGTGCTGCGAACACCGTTTCGTTATAACAGCTCCAGCTAAGCATAAAAATAGTATTATCAATATCGGAATGGTTTTGCAGCACTGCTTTATGACATCACAATATCATTACTGACAGTGCAGTATATCGAAACGCTATGTTACGTGCCATTTGTAAGTAAAGACAATTTGGATAAATTTAATTGACGAGATCGCTTTAAAACTTGTAAAAATCGACGGAAACTGTCCTCTCTTCCCTTGATAGTCAGTAAATCCTCATAAAAGGCACATAAAATAAGCCTATATTCGGACAGAAACACACGGTCTGACAGCTGTTGAAACGAATAAAAAATACGCTTTTATATATAAAATTTTAAAATAACTTTAATTTTTCGATAATTACGACTTTGATAAGTACGAAACAAGTCACATTTTCACAATTAAGCAAATAATAACAAAATGATACGCAACATAAATTTCGTCGTCAAAATATTACTTTTTCTTGCCTATAAGTTCAGCTATTTATCATGGTGTGGTGCTTCTTTATTTAATATGCTGTAAAAATTGAATGTACAGAACAATTGAATGTACAGAATTATCAGTACAAAATTGTTTTTGTGAATTTAATTGCAGATGCAAATATGACATATGTAAACAAATAATTAAGTAATTTGCCGAACAAATGTTGTTAGACAATGGTTACCCTCTGGAACTCATTTATAACGTCATTAATAAAAGACTAAAAAATTTATTCGTAAATAAATCTAAATTTGTAAATTCGTTAGAAGAGGAAAATAAGATCAATGCAACAAAAAAATATGTTGCAGTAGTCCCTTACATAAGAGCAGTATAGGAGTTAGCAACGTCGACTTTTAATAAAAAACAACTATCATTGGTTTTCGGACTATTAATAAACTTAGTAAATTCATAAAGGTCCAAAAAGACAAAACTGAAAAGTGACATGTAATAGTAATCATCTAATTTATAAAATCAATTGTAAAGAGTGCAATGCTTCATATGTGGGCCAAATAAAAAAGCAACTTAAAATGAGACTAAAAGAACAAAAATAATATGAAATTTGATCCATGTAAACATTCGTTTATCTCTGAACATATTTTGAACATACTTTTAATCATATTTTTGATTGAGAGAATGTAAAAATTTTGAATTTTGAACGTAATTACAACAAAAGACTGATTGCAGAGATGATACACACAAATAAACAAGAAAATGATATTAATTGTAAAAAAGATACGAAAATGCTGGTTGAATTTTATTTTGAAATTTTAAAATTTTAACTTTCAGATTATAAGTAGCTAATTCCGATACTCACCACTATATGCGTTTCAATAGACAATATATTTATTAGAGTCTCTATAAGAGAGTCGCATCAATCTTGTCAAAATTTTCATTGGCTTTGAAATAAAATTGGCGCAACCAATCATCGATGCTATTATATCCCCACTTTGAGTATCGTAAATGCGGTGATTTAAATTTTAGAAATTGTGAGAGTAGAATTTTCGTTAAATTAATAATATTGACAAGCAGAATTTTGTTAAATTACAAAATATTAACAGAAGTAGATGTTCTATAGCTGAACTGTACGAGTATATCTGTTTTCTATAGCTGAACTTGTTTTACACTTTTGGAATTGAAATAGTGATGATATGAAACAGTAATGAAATAACATTTTATTTAACAATACTTTTATTTTATGATAAAATGCCATCGTCGAACTGCTATATATTAGTAATTTTAAATGTTCTTTTTGACAATATGTTTTAATCATGTTTTAGTCATGTTTTCTGCGAAAAAAAACATTAAAATTATATGATTGATGACAAGATTAGAATGTTCCTACCACATAATATCTGTATCTTTTATATATTTTTAATTCAAAATCTTTATGATAATGTATAGACTTATTTATTTATAATTTTATTGATACATATAAAATAATTTCATCACTTCATTAATCAAAACTTTCACCATGACTCTATGCTCTACGTAGTAGAGAGTTTAAAACCCTTCTCTAATAGGATCCCTGTTAGACGCCATTTTGTTTCATATTGACCCTCTTATAGGGACTCTACAATATATGTTAAGTAACTATAATTTAAAATTCAACACACATAAATATTGTTTCGTTGTCGAGCTGACATTCTCAATCATTCTTGGAATAGAGTAATAGATAGAATATAAAATGCCATCTCCAGATATCTTCAATTTTAATTCCTAAAGTTAATTATTTTACATCATAACTGTAAGTTATTACTAGATTCAAAAAAATTTTATGAGTTTAATTTAAATAATAGTTTCTTTTTAAATACATTGATTTACTAGATCTTTTATATACATGACTATTACCATCAATTTGGACAAAAACGATCTTCGCTGATAAACAAGGATTTGTTTTAAAAGAAAAAATTTTATACATCTAACTAAATTTCACTAAAAAATATGGTGCAATGATGGAAATCTAAATCTAAGTCAATGGTTATAGACTGCTATCTGGAGGATGATATGGAATGGCTAGAGTATGCGTTAGTATGTAAGACATAAATTACGTTATAAACTGATAAAAAAAGCTCTGTAGAGTCGAAACGTTTTTATTATATAGTATTTATTATATTATTTTACATATATTTTAATCTAAGATCTGAATGTACTTGTTACTAGTCGTTATTATATATTGTTTTATTTTGCCAATTGTCGTTATATTTTATTTATTATTAATTTGTCAAATATTAGCGTAACTGTTGAAAAAAGATAGTTACAAAATATATTTTTTGTATAACATTAATTTACTTTTATATTTACAAAAGTTAATGTTATATCTTTAACAGTTATGCTAACATTTGACAAATTATTTATTAATTATTTGTTTACATACATCATATTTGCATCTGGAAATTCACAAAAACAATTTTGTACTTATAATTCCGTACATTCAATTGGACACTTTTTACAGCACATTAAATAAGGAAACATAGCTCATGTGACTTAAATTTGTTAATGAAACATGCACTCCAAACATGCACTCAAACATGATTTTTTAATAACAAACCGAAAAAATAAAAATTCAAGAAAAGAAGAACTAAAAATTTCATGGTTACAATTACGAAACATTTGGTTAAGTTATTTGTTTATAGCTCATCGAGCTACTCCAGATTAAGAAAAAAATCATGTTTCTATGTCAATTTATTGCTGAGAAAATGTAATTTTAACAAATTTTAACGCCCGAAATCAGATACGCGCGAGTCGCCGAGCGGCCCGATCTTTCTCCACTCGATCATGCGCCGGCTTTCTTCATTCCGCTCAGAGTGTTGCCTCGCTCGCGTTGTTCAATTTCCGATGGTTTTAAACAAACTTTTTCGACAGCAAAAAATTTGAGAATTTTAACAGCAAATTCTTCCTTAACAAATTGGTGCCAGAAACTCTTAATCTTAAATTAGAGCCACAGTGATTTAAAAAAAAAATTATTTCGGCTTCTAATAATCAGAGGGTAACCTTTTTTTTTTAAATTCATAGAAAAATATCAGCTGTCGAATGCTTTACACGGCTATTTGATATGATGCATATTAATGGAATTATTCCATTTTTTTGTATACAAAAAAGATACCCACTTTTCAAAGTCGTTTTATAATTTTATAGTTTAATTGCAAAAAATCGATTTGTTATTAAGTGTACGTGATAATGCAACTCTTAAAGAAGAAAAATTACCACTATAAATTACTGTGCGACTGCTTAAAGATGAAGAAATTAAGTTTTTTACAGGTTTTTAGTGAACAAATAGCTTTTTACAAAAATTAAGTAACATTTAATATAACACAAAATTTAATAACACAAAATTTGTTCGTCATTACGAGAGGTACATTTTACGCGAATTTCAAAACGTTTAAATTTCAATGAGCAACAGAGAGCGAGAAAGAAAAGACTTTTTTGATGTTTATTTTTTTTCTACTTAACTAATAGATTAATTTTAATGTTCCACGTTTCATTTTGTAAGTATTTCGAATACCTATATTTTTTATATCGAACTTTTTTCTATACAATCAATATCTTTCGTTTTATAAGAGAAAAACATGCTTTTTGCAACTATTCGATTTTTTTCGCATATTTTCTTCACAAGTCTCGAGTCTCAAACATACGCATTTCTTTTCTAATAGCCTTTTGAAGATTTTCGAGAAGAGAAATGGTGATTTATAATTTTTTTCCGGTAAAATTTTACTTCTACTGAATTATACTCTTGCTACTCGAATTTATGAAGGACGTATATAACGCGCATGAAAAATCGTTAACAATTAAATATCTCGTTTAACTATTGCGTTTTAACATAATTTATACAATTCTGGATTAATGGAAGGGATACACTATTACTACACTTTATTAAAACTTATATTATTTAGAATGCCCCTCGTTCCTTATTGATGCCGAGGGCCGCCGAGCGGTCGAGAAAGCATTTTCGATCGCTTAAAACAAGCAACTAGTGTGAGGAGCTCGCTGTCTCGTTCACTCTCGGCGCGTTGAAGGCGAACACACGTACATAGATTCGTGTTTGAATGTGTGGCTACGTCAGACTGCCGTCTGATTTTGTGTCGCTACTGTCAACGCAAAGTTCTTAGCTAAATACTTAGGAGCTTAAAATGAGATAAATACATATTTGGGTGTTGAAAAAAAAGAAAGCGAAGATGCTGAGTACAAAAAGTACAAACAACGCGAACAGATCTATAGAAATTATTTTTATCTATCACATTACAATATATCTTTTGTAATAGTTCATTTGTTTTGGAAAATTTTTTTAAATATTATTTTATAATTGTTATTTAAAATATTAGACACGTTGTTGTCTTGAAAGCGTGCCCTTAGTAGTTTCTATTCTAATGCACAATAAGGAGACACAACTGTTTTGCTATGAAAACTCTTGTAATTGTGACAAACAAAAAGACGGAAAACGAAGGCAAAAAATAAATCGCGAAAAACAAGTACATGCGCGCCGCATCCAGAATTTTCAACACCTGAAATATTGAAATCTCTTGTCCCTAAAGCGGGGAGCACAGACTCTTGCAAAACGCATAACATGTAATGCATAAGAAAGTGAATCAAAGTCCTTCATTTCCTTCCTTTTCATGAAATAAAGAACTATAATTGCTTGAATTTCTTAAGTTTTATGTGTTATGCGGTATGCAAGAGTCTGTGCTCCCCGCTTAACTCCATCTAGCTTGATACGCTTGTAGGTCATAAATTTGCATTCCAATAATAGTATTACACACACATGAAATATTAATATTCCAAATTATATAAACAATAAATTTAGAGACAAGATGAATGTATATTTTATCGATTAATTAGATCGATTAATTAGAAATATTAACCTTAGAGATAGAGTAAGAATGGGTAATCAAATGTCGGAAACTTTTAATATTCATAGCGGATTAAAGCAGGGGGATGCATTGTCACCTCTTCTGTTTAATCTAGTATTGGAATATGCTATTAAAGAAATGCAGAAGAGTAATGATGGTTTGCAGTTGAACGGTACAACACAAATATTAACATATGCGGACGATATTGCTTTGTTGGGAGATAATAAAGAAACACTAATAAATAAC